CAGATGGGAGCATATTGTTGTGGGCCTTTAAGCGAAAACGGAGAAATGTCAGAACTGCCTACCTCCAAAGCCTGGATGGACTTGTTGTACCAGTCGTCCAACGTCAGCGGGGCCGGCCAGGACGGTAGGCCAAGGCCGCCGGGAAAAGGGAAGAAACTACAATGTTGGGAAGGAAGTGTGTTGGACAACTTCGCGGTGTAACCTAACCATTGTGTTGTCTTAGAGTCTCTCCCCCCTTTGGGTCAAAGTGAGAATTTCAAGGAGAAAAAGAAGCAAAATTAGGGGAGACATAACACAGTCTAATCAGAGATCAAAACCAAAGTCTAATCAGGAGTGGAAGCCGGGGGATGTTTCTTGAAGAGAAAACACAGTCTGTCAAGTCCTTGAACAGTCCAGCGATTACACGTAGGCCGTATGGCAGCAAGAACTGTCCGGAGCGAGTACTGGGGAGGTGATGCCCATTTAATCCTGGTGTAGTGGATCCAGACGGCATGTCCCTCAACTTTGACGCAGGGCGGGGTGGTCAGGATGAACTGGAACGGTCCTTTCCACTTTTCCGATAGTGGTTAGTTGGACAGCAATTTCGTATATATCCAATCTCCAGGAGAAAAGGGATGCAGGGGACGGTTAAGAGTTACCAGATCCTTCTCGAGCATCTGCTTGTGGGTGTCCTGTAAGAGTCGGGAGATTCCCAAAAGATAGTTACACAAATCTTCCCCCCCCCCTTTGGATGGCTTGGCCTGGTCACCCATGTTGATGGTTGTGACCATGAAGGGGCGGCCATACATTGCTTCATAAGGACTGATGGCAAGGAGTCCCCTGGGCAGTATTTGAATGGGGCAGCAAATCTACCCACCCAAGTCCTGTTTCCAGGGACATTTTGTGAAGGTGCGCCTTCAAGGTCTGGTTTAACCTTTCCACCTGGCCGGAAGACTGGGGTCTGTAGACTGCATGTAGCTTCCACTCAATGCCTAGGTAGGCGGAAACTTGTTGGACAATGTCCGCCACAAAATGTGGGCCGTTGTCCGAGGACAGCCCCTCCCACGGGATACCATGCCTGGGAATAATGTCATGGAGAAGGAGGCGAACGACCTCCTTCGCTTGAGCAGTTCGAGTGGGGAAAGCTTTGGGCCAACCAGTAAGGGTATCTACAAAGACAAGGCAGTATTTGTAGCCCTTATAGGGCTTCAGTTCAGTGAAATCTACTTGCCACTTGGCACCCGGCAAGCAGCCCTTTGGTTGGGTTCCCTTCGGCCCCTTTCTCAGTCCTGTGTGTGGGGGGTTGTTTTTACAACTGATTTCACAAACATCAGCGATATCCTGGGCGAGGGAGGGTACTTGGTTTTGGTATCCTCCCGTATCAGTAACTGCCCACGATGAGCTATATGGACTCGGAGGAGCCATCTTGGAAGAGCAGCTTTTTAATGCAGAGAACAAGACAGAACTGGATCGACCAATCAGTCTCACTGAAGCGGAGGAAAACCACAAAGAGGAGGGCGACAGGCCAGCCCAACAAAATAGTTTGCACTTTCATGGTAGTGGATTTCTCTGAGCCGCCCGCTCAAGATATGCGGGGGGGGGGGAGCAACACACAGCAGCCGTAAGAGGGAGGAGATGGTCGGGACATCCTTCCCTGTGAATCGAAAGGGGCAGCCAGGACTTGCCTGAAGCACTGAAGTGCTGCTTCCTTGCTTTCCCGTCCCGGGAAGGTTAGACTTATAGTGATTATTTTAGGATAACACTGATTCAGGAGAAAGGACGTGGACTTCTAAAAAGTACTGAACTCAGCCAATTGTTCTACCAAGTGTAGGTTTGGGGGTTTTTTGTCAATAACTGGACTGTGGCAGTGTCTCCAATCTAGGCAGTGTCTCCGTTCACAGAGTGTCAGCCGTGGAAAGATACTCTGCCATCTAAGGCAGAACAGCAAACAGCCTCCTTCCCTCAAAGTCATGGCACATTGCGCCAAAGGCCAAGCAAGTTATTTGAGTACCCGAAGCAGAAAGATGCTCAGATGTCACTTTCTTCCTTAGAAATGTAATAATAATGCATTAATGATTAACAGTTTCCTACCATTTCACGATGCCCTCAGAGCTGCTCCCTGAGGTGACCGCCTCATTCTGCCTAATGCTACAGCTGGCCCTGACAAAGAGGACCACACTAAAGTGATATTCGCCTGTCTGCCTGATCATCTTTTTCAGCTTTTCCAACTAAGCTGAAACTGAAGCCATTCACAATTAACTGTTTTAACCTAACTTTTATACTCTAGGCTAAGGGTGTGATTTTTGCATGAAAGTAACTTGCATGGGAGTTGAAGGTTCCGGAAGCAGTTGTGATCCTGCCTTTGACTGCAGTTATCATCTTTCCTGTATCATCTGTGGCTGTTTCAGAACTGGCAGATAGCCTGATTTCCACAGCACAGCAGAATTTAATACTCTGCACAAAAATCAATATTTTACTCTCAATACAGTTGTGCCCCGCTTAATGATTATCCCATATAACGACGAATCCACTTCACGACAATGTTTTTGCTATCACAATTGTTTAAATGTTTTAATGGGCTTTTAAAACTTCCCGATGATCGGTTCCCTGCTTCGGGAACCAATTATTTGCATTATGACGATCAAAACAGCTGATCGTCGGGTTTTCAAAATGGCCACCGGCTGCTCAAAATGGCTCCCCGCTGTGTTTTTGGACAGATTCCTCGCTTTACAGGCAGCAAAAATGGCTGCCCCTATGGAGGATCTTCACTGGACGGTGAGTTATTTAGCCCATTGGAACGCATTGAATGGTTTTCAATGCGTTTCAATAGGCTTTTTTATTTCACTTTACGACGTTTTCGCTCTACAGCGATTTCGCTGGAACGAATTAACATCGTTAAGCGAGGCACCACTGTACTTTTTCTGAAAAATCATAGCACTAAATAAAAATAAATAAATAGTCCTCGAGACATAAAAGATACTGTGTCCTTAATACTCTGCTCCACTGCACAGTAGCACAAGTAGCTGTGTAAATAGAAGCAAATTTGTATACATTAATTACTAAACAGTTTACTGAACTGAGAAAATCTTGGCACAGGTGCTTATGTTTCATCACAGAGTAAACCCAGTTCTGCCTTCAGTCAAAAATTGCCTATAAATTATGAGAGTAGCCTTGTGGGTCGCATTTTATGGTTTCAAATGCCATCAACTATGTACAATCAAATTCCAAAAGGAAGGTGCAACAATAGCTAAAACAGACATCTTTAACAGGAATATCCTCATATTGCTTATGTAAGAGCCAAACCATATTCAGAGCTTGTGCCATAACACATTGGAGTTAACACAATGTGGCTACCCCTCTTAAAATTAGAGTTCACAGGTTAATCATCACTGTCATGTTGATAGCCTAATCTTTTAAAATTAACTTTTAGAAAATAATGTTAAAAACATTGATTTCAAAACATTATGCTTTCAATGTGCCAGTTGAGGTCTCCCATTACTCAAAAGCAACTATTTTAATATGTTAGAAGTATTTCTAATGAGTGCCCTAAAAACCAGTACTGTCACTTTCTTTAGGAAATGTAGTTGTGGCGGCGCCACTCTGGCACACGAATGAAAAAAAAATCTGTGACCATGTTCACCCACTGCATGCTCAAACATCCTTCCCTCTTGTAAGATACTATTTGCTGCTTGATAGTGACCTGGTTCATGGGAAATGTGCTAACCTTTCACAAGGCCAGGCCTTACCATTGGGCAGGCTGGAGCTGCTTCCTTCAGATGATAGATTTTACAAGTAATGTTAAAAGAGGTGCAAACTAGTTTGTTTTTGTCAGTATTGTGTGGTTGAATTAGCCTGTTGTAAGAGCAACACTCTTGTGGTGCTACCAGTATGAACAACTGATTTGGCTGAAGCTTTTGTGGACTGCAGAAGACACAGGGCGCTTTGTGTGATATGCCAAATAAAACTTGTCTCAATTTTTAAACGTTGTCTCCAGAAGGTCTTTGTTGACTCAGATTACTGTCTCCATGCTAAAGCCATCTTTGCATTTCAGCAATCAAGCAACCCAGGTTGTTTTGCAGTGTACTGTAGCAAAACAATAGTGCTAGCAAACATGGTAGCCCCGGGTTAAATCCTCCTGCTCTGAATCATATGGACTAGTTTGGATAACATCATGCCCAAAATGGTGTGTTATATATCTGCCTCGGCAGCAGCCAGTCAGACAGGGGAAGGTGGGTAAACGTCACCAACTGAATTAAGGAATGCCATACGGGTCACACCAGGGTGTCCCTGCATGGCATAGCCCATAACTTCTCTGAATTACTCAAGCCCCTTTGCCACGACTTTGCTATATTTTAAGTGCAATTCAATGTCTCTTCAAATACAAGTGCCTTCAAGAGGCACAAATGTTTACCTGCTAGATTATATTAGAGGCCGTATCAAGACAGCACAGCTGTTATTGTAACTAGGGGAAGGAGGAAAGGAGTCAAGTGCATTTTCTTTTAAAAGATTTTTAATTACAATGAAAGAGGAAAAAGAAAAGCATGATGTGCCTGGCTATAATATTTTAGAATCTCACCAAAGACGGTCTTTATTCAGTGAGATATGAATGTAGTATCCCGAGATTGTCTGCATCTCAGGTTCCTAGTCTCTGTGATCACAAACAAGGCTTGAAAATAAATTGATAGTGCTTGGGGAAAACCTGATATCCGAGTGTCAAGTGGAACTTTCAGAGGCCATGATTTGGAACGTTTTCTGTGATTTGGACAGCTATCGTTAGAGTGTAATAGTGTGCATTCTCAAAAATAAGTTTTATTTTTATTTATTTGATTTAGATACTGCCCATCTGGCAGCCAGGGCCACTCTGGGTGGTTTACAGCAGATAAAACAACAGAGCAACAAAGTAATACATATACAAAATAATAATAATACAGTACAATTGGGGCATAAATCAAATATCATAAAATGCAATGAAATGAGTACAATACAATAAATTACTGTTAAAAGAATATTAAAAATATTAAATATTAAGTTTTTGAGATATTCAGTGGAATATGTGCAAGTACGTGTGCATAGAATTTTATATAACTGTACCAAAACAAGTTTGATGTCTTAAACTGCTTAATTTCAGTCTGTCACGTTCTTCAGCTTTTCTGCTCATGGATTCTGTGAGCTGCAGTCTACAGTGTATGTTCGGTATCTTTGTCTATCAATACTTGAACATATTTTTGTATTTCAAATCCATGGCACAGCGTTCAAAATGCCAGTATTCTTCCCTTTCCCTTTATTCTTCAGTTTTCCTTCCTTTTTTCCTTCCTACCTAGGAAAGCCATTAGTTTTTTCAGAACTGAAAAGATCCAAATCTGCCATCTCACGGAAGAAGAATTTCAGGAGCAGGGTAAAAGAAAGACTTCAAGCCTTGGAAGAACTGCGGAGGGTCTGCAGGAGGCCCGAATTTCCATCATGGGGGGTGGTGGCCAAGCTGCAAAACCCACAAAAGTAAGAATGTTTCTATTGCAATTTGATATCCTGACAATACATTAATGCACAGTTAATGTAGTTTTGCAAACAAAGCATTCTGTTTGCAAGTAGAAAAACATTCTTTTGGTTTAGACAGAATCTTTTGTCACTTGAAACCCTTTCCTGTGCTGAGGTGAGATACAATATTTATTTGTCCGGCAGTTTATAAGTTTATAATGTCTTTCTGTAATACTCTGCATAACAAAATGTTGTGGCACCTTTCAAGACTAACGTGTTTATTTCAGTGTGAGATTTTGTTGGCTTTCAGCCAATTCTTCAGGCACATGGACTATAATATTTAAGATAAAGATGTATGCATACAGAGTATATATACAATATACTGCCTATACACATAGACATAAAGGTTTATATTATACGCAGTCAGTTTATTAATGTGGTCAGCGATCAGCTCATTCGCGATAGACACTTTATGAGTGTCACAATAGATTTAAAATATTCCAGTAATTACAGAAATAAGCAAGATGAGCAATAAATAAGTAATATAAAATTATTTTAAATTACCTGCTACAGATTAAAATAAATATTGTTAAAACTTTAAACCATTCATAGAATATCTTTTACAACCTTACAAACAGCTGCAAAAAATGTTGTTCATACCAGGAATCGTGTGGGTCGACAGACATTTTCCATTTTCACCTTTCTCATGATATTTCTGTTGCTTCTTGCCCAGCGCCTCTCCTTCTTTGTCCCACCTGCTCTTTGTTTTGTTTCCTTCAAATTTGCAAGCTTTGTGCTTGGACATCCTCACGTGTCACCTGAAGTAAAGAAGAGAAGACCCTGAGAAAAGGCATGCACATACCTATAACACAGAGAAAGAGCAATAAAAGTGAAAGCCTTCGCAAATACATACTACAAAGTTGAAACAGAGTCAAGAGTTTAAATTATCTTCAAAACATTTGTTGGTTGTAGGCTATGTGACCATTTAAAGAAATACAGTGGAACCTCTACTTAAGAACTTATTCCATTTTGGAATGGTGTTCTTAAGTTGAAACATTCTTAAGCTGAAGCAAAATTTCCCATAGGAATGGACTGAAAACCAATTAATCCGTTCTGGCTGTTTTTTTGTTATGTAGAGGTGCGTTCGTACATTGAAGCATTAGTTCCCATAGGAACTAATGCAAAGCTGGTTAATAAGTACTCTACCACTAGGGGGAGAATTTTTTTTTAATCTAAGATGACCTAAGGTTAAAAAAAGAGCAGGAAAGGTTTTTTTCCTGTTCTTATCTTGGATTTCTGTTCTCAAGTAGAAGCAAAATTTAGCAAATGGAGCTGTTCTTAAGTTGGATTGTTCTTAAGTAGGGACGTTCTTAAGTAGAGACCCCACTGTACATCATATTTAAAGAAATACCGTATATTCTACCAGATAAAGAATATAGATGTTTCAGTTGAATTTCTTTCGCCTGAAGCATAAAGGTACCACACCTCCAATGCAGCTTCTAAAGAACACAAGTAGCAATCAGTATAGATGCAATCCAAGGGCTCATTTATCTCCCACTGAAGGCTAAAGTGTAAATGCTTCTTCATTAACTAGAACTGTTAGCTTATGTGGAGCAGGTGCAACCAAGATGGAAAAATAGGATTTCCAATATTGAGCATTAATTAATTAGTTAATTTATTTACTGACATTCTCCCATGCATTATATAAGGTAGCTAGGTTGAACAGAACTGGTTACACATGGGATCTAATACACATTTGTTTCCCCTTGTCATTCTAACCATTCTGTTCACTGGATCACCAACACTGGAGTATTATGGGCTTTAGCTGAAAGAAGACAGTTGTGTGGAAGTTATTTTGTCAAATACTTAGACAGCATTTAAATTCAGCAAGTAACCACAAAATGTAGTGACTCTGATATTCTAATATCTATTCCCCGTGTGGGAAAGGAAGCCAAATGGCAGCAGGGCTAGCAGCCTTCCCTCTCACTCTTCTTCCCGCTTCCTCCAAGGCCCGGGATCCCCTGTAGGGAACATGGGCACCTGTCTGACCTAGGCTGCTGAGTTAGGACTGCAGGCTTCCAGACTGTACATCGGCCACAATGGAGCTTCTTGAAGATCTTACATGCCCCATCTGCTGCAGTTTATTTGATGATCCACGAGCACTACCCTGTTCACAGAACTTCTGTAAGAAATGTTTGGAAGGAATCTTGGAGGGAAATGCCCAGAACAGAATTTGGAGACAATCTCTTTTCAAATGCCCTATGTCAGAAAGAAACTACTGTTACAGGAGATAGCAATCTCCAGCCACATCACACTGTTGGCTCATCTACAGCTTGTGAGCAAGTCCCTGGAGCCACGCAAGTATCCAGGATGCATGGAGCCGCTGCCCCAACAACTCCCCATGAGGGAGGAGGAGGAGGCCACTGAGGGGAAAAGCCAGGCTGTCCTTGTCTGAGGGGAACGAAAAGGAGGAGGAGGCGCCGCCATCATCCGAACAACTCCCCATGAGGGAGGAGGAGGAGGAGGCCGCTGAGGGGAAAAGCCAGGCTGTCCTCGTCTGAGGGAAACGAAAAGGAGGAGGCGCCGCCATCATCCATGCCGTGAGGGAGCAGGCCAGGTAGGTGGGGCTCATTAGCCTTGGAAGACAGCTCATCTAGAAGGAAAACTCCGATTTCAAACCTCCACTGCCTTGTGGCTATATCCACTGATGGAAAAGGCTTCAGGAAATAACCCTGAGGCAAAATCCGGATCCGGAGTCCCGGAGGCAGTTCATGTCATTCTGGCAACTTCTGCGACATCGCTGGAACCAGTTGTATTGGCTCTTGCCTTTCCATTGGACTATTTTAGCAGTGTGGAGAGGGGTGAGTTGCTGCTTGGGTAACAGCCTATCCTCCATATTATTTTACTCAGGCTTCATGCGCTAGAGAGGACACTCTCCAAGTCCTCCATACAGAGCATGTTACCAGAGTCTCTCAAGACTGAAGTATGCCATTCCTTCTTAAACTATTATAAGTTTAAATACAGCCCCAAAAAAGCTATACATGTCCTGGAGACTCTTGTCAACTGGTGTTTCTGTTGTTTGTTTTTACTTTAGGGTGAACATAGTGTTTAAAATTACAGATAAAATAAAGTTTTCCTTCCAGTCTCATTACTAACCAAATATCATTACTTTGTATTCTCCTTTCAAACATCTTTTGTGTGTTGGGGGAGATGGGAAAACCAGTGAAAAAATGCAGGTTTACAAGCAGAAAACACTACCTGGATCTCCTGTAAAATTCTATAAATAAAGCAGGTGAAATGCATGACAAAAGCCTCCTCCTGAAGTACCCAAGAACTCAGAGTTATCCAGTGAAACTGAGGGGCAGAAGCCTGAAAAGATACTCTTCGTACATACTGTATTTGGAAATCTACTAGATCGATTTAATTGAAGAGGCAAATGCTAAGACTCCTTCAGAGGCAATACGCCAATGTGGCAGGCAGCAGCACAAACAGAATGTCACCTTCAACTCTGCAGGTGAAATTCTCACAACCAAATGTTTGTCACATGGGCTTTTAGTTGACTCAGCAACATTCCGAGGCTCATCAAAACGACAGCAGGCACGTACCCAAGCCTGGCTGGAAAATGGCCAAAAACTAGTTCAGTTTTTGAAAACATATTGGAAGTGAACAGATGGGAAGGTTCATTGCACTCCAGAATCCTGCTCGAAAGTTCCGAAGACTTAGATGAAAGGATACATTTTCCCATTGGGTGCTATCAACGAGGCTTCTTAGTAGGAGTGGTGGGAAAGGGTTTTTTTTTGTTTTTTTAAAGCAAACACGATATGGGGTATTGACGCGCCAAATGCATCGGCACTGAAACCCCTGCCGCCGCCATAGAAGCAGCTGGCCTTTCGTAAGAAAGAAGGGTGTGGTTATGACAAGTTCCGGGGAGTCTCTCCCGCTCGCCCGCTCATTTCCCCCACCTTTGCCGCGCCCTCTAGTGGTCACTCCTGTCTCTTGATCCGGCTCGGCTCAGACCAGGCAAGGCCCGCGTTGCCGGTTTAACTGCAGTCACGACAGCGGCGAAGGAGGCGCCGTGCGCTCCCGCCCTCCTCCCTCCTCCTCCTCCTCCTGCCTGCCTGCCTGCTGCTGCTGCCTGCAACTCCCCCTCTCTACCGCTGCCCTGCGAGTTGACTCGGCGCCGCGCACACAGGGCCTGAATCCGGGCCCGTCTCGCTGGTTCCTCCACCTCACGCCCCCGCCATGGATATGAAGAAGCGGATCCACTTGGAGCTGCGGAACCGGACCCCGCCGGATGTAAGCATGGGCGGGAGAAGCGGGAAGCCGGGCCTCCCTCCCTCTCTCTCCCTCCCTCCCCTTTTTACCCTTTCTACAGCGCTATACACACCGGTGGGTGTAGGGAGACCGCGCGCGGGGTTTAATTCGAGCTTCTTGCGGGGAGGGTGGTGGATTACAAGAGCAGAGGGTGGCCGTGGCCAGCCCCTGCGGAAGAGGAAGAAAGGCAAAAGCAGGCGCGGCGTCGGGCAGCCCCGCGACCGACTGGCTGAGGAGAAGACTCCGCGGCCGCCATGTTGTTCCGCTGCTGCGTCTATACTGGGAGAGCGTGGGCTGCCTGCAGAGAGAGGCAGTTGGTGTCTCGCGTGCGCGCGACAGACAACCGCCGCGTTCGCCTTCACCTCAGCCAGTGGCGCGCGTCCGGGCGCACCCTTCTCCCGCTCTTAAACGGGCAACATCTGCCCGAAGGGAGCGCGCGGTTCTTCCTCCGAACGCTCGAGTTCGTTTCTTTCGGTCTGTGCGCGCGTGCCGAGGCCTTCTCGCCAGCCATTTCCCCTCCCCCTTTAAACCGGCGACAGCTGCAGAGCGCGAGAGGGAATGCGCGAGAGAGGGAGGGAGGGAGGGAGGGAGTAGTGCGCGCTCTTGCGTTTCTCTTCTCCACCATCGCTGAACGGCTCGTATTCCCGCCAAAAAGTTGCTTACTTTCCTCCCCCCCCCCAAAAAAAATAAAATCTCCGCTTTTTCTTCCCTTCGGACACTAGGGAGGAATGCAACGCAGACAAAGTTAGGTTAAAAATTTCAAGGGCACACACACACACAGAAAAACACATTTTAGTATTTGTAACAACATAAATAAAAGTTGTGCCATGTTTAAAGACTAACAGAAGGCGAAAGTTTAGCACGTTTCAAACTTTAAAACAAAATCTCAGCGTGGATTTTCCTGGATTACATTCCCTTTCCTCAGGAAGACTCATGATCGGCCTTTAAAATTTATTGTAGTTTCCATTAAAATAAAATCTATCGTTTGAAGCAAAAAGTGAACATGAAACCCTTTTAAACAATGTGGCTGGCAGCCAAACAGTGAAAAGGGTTTTAAAAAGTAGTTTAAATACCATTAAAGCTGCAAGAAGGTGGGACCTTTCTAGACTATGCCACAACAGGAGAGTATTTTCAGTACAGTATGTGTTCAAGTCTCTTTGGAGTATATGTCATTTAGGCAATGTCCACATGCCTGTAATTCAGTGGTAGCATCCTTAAGAGCCACGTCACATGTATGTTGTAGTAAATGCAGGTTTTCTATCTTGTTTAAACCTTTGCCTGACTCCTTGTTGTATTTTGAAATGGTAGTACTTCTTTTTAAATCCTCCCCCATTTTTTAACAATTTTTAGCAGCGAAGCTTCTATTACCTGAATGAAAATGAAGGTTTTTCTCTGTGCCAGAATCTTCTGTTTGATTTTTATGATGTCAGGCTGCTGCTGAAGGGAGGTGGGAGCATATCCAGTTAGAACATTAATATGCTTTTTATGTGATTGTCATAGTTCTGTTCTTAAAGCCTCGTAAGTGTGCACCTAATATTAAATACTGTGGCATTTGCTTTGTAAAGACATGACCCAAGGACTGGAAAAACATGTCGGCAAAAGGTTGTCTTTAAACTGAATCCTTACAACTTCTGTAAAGAACAAGCAGTTTGAACCAGTTGAGCCCCTCCCTGTTTCTCCAGTAAAACTGGAGGTCCTTTTTACTAGATATCAGACTGGGTTTGCTACCTCATTGTTGCACACATACCTTTTTTCAGAGAGAATTCAGAGCAGAAAGTAATTCTCTCCTTCACTGTGCACAATTATTACATATTTTGTTTCCTTGACTACCCTTAGGTTTGTGAAGCTGCAGGGTTCTGTAGAGCTTCCCTAGAACTAAGTTGATCCACAAAAGCTCAGGTTGGAAAATAGCAGTCTTTTAAGAGGCCACTGTTGTTGTTTTTTGTTTGTTTTGTTTTCTATTTTTTGTCTGGATCTGTTTGATTAGTGCTCTTCCCAGAAAGGTGCTCTTGCTAAAGGACTCCGGAAGATTGAATGGTTTTGTTGAATGTAAAAGGATTTTTTATTAAGCCAGCTTATTTCATGTAATTTTATTTTTCTGTATTAGGAGTCCTTTATCAGAGGAGATCTGTGTGTAAATGTTAATATTCATATAAATGTCACAAATTCGGTGGTTAGCAATTGAATATTCAAAGTATTTTTCATAATGATGGCTGCTTTGAATCAGAATTATGCAATCATGATGATGAGCTGTGCTTCCTGGTTCAGCAGTGCAGTTGCTGCTGGGAGTGCCATAATGCTGTTATGTCCATAATATTGTAATAACTTAGTACAGTGGTTTACATGTTCCTGAATGTTCAGATTACCCAGTAGATACTGAAAATAATTAAATAACTGCAATAATCCTTCTTTATAATTCTTATGCACTGATTGAAAAAAAAAATAACAGTAGATAGAGCTAGAAATTCCTTGGGCATCTTGGTAGATCAGGTATCTGAATTGTTTATTTATTTATTTACTTACTTACCGTGTTTCCCTGAAAATAAGACAGGGTCTTATATTAATTTTTTGCTCAAAAAAAAAACACATTAAGGCTTATTTTCAGGAGATGTTTTATTTTACAGTCAGTGTCAATCTTCAGGTTGCTGCACAAGGGTGAAAGGCAGGGTTTCATTTAACTAGGGTTTATTTTGGGGGTAGGGCTTATATTACGAGCATCCTGACAAATCATACTAGGGCTTATTTTCAGGTTAGGTCTTATTTTCAGGGAAACAGTGTATTTATTTATTTAAATTCTGTCCCACCTTCCTCCTGATAGTGGGACTCATTATGGCTAGAGGAAATAGCTACAGCAGTATAGATGCACTAACACTGATGCAATGTGCTTCTACAGACCTTTCTTCATTAAGAGTTGGGTCAGTTGACCCCTCAGCATTAGCTGTATTTCCGAAAGATAACCACCACGAGCCCCGCATAGATCCTGTTTCCAAGGATTTAGCCAAAGTTAGATCAGTGTGATTTTAATAAGAGTGGATGTGGAAGGGGAGGAGGAAGATGAGAAGATAAAGTTGTACTGTACTCTACCACTTTGGATAAGATGCTATAAATACTGTACAGTAAATATATATCTTCAACTTCAAGATCAACCCATATTTTTTGGATAGCAATGTGATTGTTGCTTTTGTAATAATTGAAGCCAGACAAATACAATAGCATTTAAAATTTCTTACTTTTAAAAATCTGTTTATATTAAGTGAGAATATATCTAACTGGGTATTATATTAGTAGATGAAACATTCAGAATCAGCATACAGTACTAACATTTTTATAGATTATAAATAGTAGGAAAAGGATTCCTTTATGATCAGTTGCTTATGATTAGTTTCTTATTACGTTGAAAAACACATTACTACATTAAATGTGAACATTTTCCCCTCTTGAAAATGTGTGGAGCAATCTGTTTGCTGACATAACTGTTTATATAGTTCAACTAATTTTCCTTAATATTGGAAGATTATTCTGAAAATTTAATGGCTAATATCCTATTGTTAGTCCCAATTACAGTAGACCTGTTGAATTAATGGGATTAACATTGATGTTGATATACATCCAGCAGTTGATTAAGTAGGTCTACTCTTAGTAGTACCAGTAGGATACTGGCCAAGCAGTCTCATGAAACTGTTTCAATCAGTCAAGCAAGTGGTGTAATTACTGTATAAAATTACTTTGAAAGGAGAAAAGGAAAAATGAGGCAACTGAGTTTTTAACACCTTGAAGCAAAAAGGAAGGATATAGTTTTGATGAGAAGAGCATAAGTAAATTTAGCAGATATATTAAAAGGACACTAATATACATGATGGTAATGACAAGTGCAGCAAATAAATATATATTTGGTTCCTTTTGTGTTTTATATTTATGGCACAGATTGTAGTGCCTACAAACTCACAACAGGAATTAACTGATGATGCATGCATGCATGCATTCTACTGCAAGAGGAGGCAGCCTTTGAAAAAAATATCTCTCCCTCCCTTCATGGGTGGGAACAATTTGGTATGAGTAGATAAACTCTCCAGCACACCCTCTTCTTTTGGTCATGCTCTTGCTCAGTTCTCACAAGTAGCAACTATAGTGTTTGGAGAGAGTTGATGGCTGAGAATAACTGATAATGTCTTTTTGTGAAATCCTCTTTCTTAGATAAGAATGGGGAAAGTTGTTGCTTAAATTAAAATGTATTTTAAATGTACTAGCGTGGCACCTAAGCCTCAGTTTTATTAATAGCAGTTGCTAATTAGATCTTTCATTAGGAAAATTCTTGAAGCAAATAGCTAAACTCAGGGCATGCTGCATTACCATACTGTGTCATCACTCATAAATCTTTGTGACTACATATTTTGTGTATTTTGTGCAGTTCATAAATAGGAGTTTTTGTGCTGTTTTTCATTTAAACAGCAGGTGGGCCATTCATCTGTTCATGATAAGAAAAACTAGGCACTTGTTCCCTAACTTGCATACACATTAAAGAGAGTTGGCTTACTTACGTGTTGGCCCTTTGATTTCTGTGTGTAACGTGCAAGTGGGTAGAAGCATTTCCCAAAACCCCAGCTATTCTGACCGTCAAATTCTGGGAGTTGTAGCCCCCAGAAGTAACTTTTCCAAGCTTTTTCATGGCCTTTATATTTCATGGACTGTATTTCTGTACCAAGTGTTTGCTGGATTTACCTCAAAGGCAAGTTTACAGTCATAAATGTGCTTACTAGGCCTCACTGAATGCAGGATTGCATTGAAAGGTTGCAGTATCATGTAAAGTTTGGACTGACTGCAATTTGAAGCACGATTGTAACTCAGGAATGATTCCTTTATTTATTTAAAATATTTTACCCCCACCTTTTTCCTTGAAAAGGACCCATGGTGGCTTACAACACTGAAAGACAATATTTATAATTGAAAACAATGAGTATACAAAGTACTGTATAAAGTGCCTTATGTTATTTGCCATGCTTTTTAAAGATGTGTGGTTTTGATTTTACATTTCTTGACTAAGTCCAGTGTCTGGAACAGAAGGCACAGAACTTTGCATGTTGTGTTGCTTTATGTCTATAAATATTTTTGGTATATTTTCATAAACTAGAGTTTTAGACTTCTGTGAAATCAGTTTGGATAGCAAGTCTGGATGTTATTAAAATCTAAAATAGCCAAGGTGTAAAACATTGCTTGTGTCACTTGATGTTGTAAGCCTGTAGAGCTTTTGAAAAATACTTCCCTATAATTTTTAAGTGTCAAGGGGAACCTTTACCTTTATGAGGGGTACTAAGTACAGTAGGACCTGCATATCCATTGGGGATTGGTTGGAAGCCCC